TATGGATAACCACGTAATGCTGGATTTTCTGTCCATAAAAGAAGCTGATACGAAGGGAGAAGAGCAGGTCTCACTATAGCTGTATTTGTCCATTTCATGTCTTAGCCTGCCAGTCCCATACTGACTAGTGAGAAACATGGCCACTTTATGGTTATGGTTTTGTAAAATCTATGAGTTTCTTTCTATTCAACTTTTCTTCTTCTACGTCCTAGTCCAATTGGCTATTTATATGAATATCCTCCAATATAAATAATCTACTGAACACCTTTAGGTGTTTCATTTTTACTTGAACAGTACTATCTTGTGTTCTACAGACGTGGATCTGTCTCTCACAAAATGACATTTTCTTCTGTTATATCTTTGAATATTGACACTATTTTGTTACTCATTTTTCAGAGCACTCAGTTTTCTTATATTGTATTTTTGTTAGTCTTCTTTGTCTATCATATTTTTCACTTCTGTCCTTTACTCTTTTTTTCTACCTGCTGAGTTTTTCAAGTGTATTTAATTTTCAACAATGTTAATTCTAATTTTTATTACTTGATTTCTAATTCATTGTTTTGCTACTGCATTTTTTGTTTCCTTATTCCCCCCCCCCCGTTATTTTGCTGAGTGCATTTCAATTTCTGTCTTAACCATTTCTCTGTATTTATACTACATTGTTTCACCTTTAATCTCTTTAAAATTTGTAGTATTGCTTTTTCATATAATAGGTGTGAAAACAATAGTCTAATGCTTACTTTGGTTTCTCTTAGTTTACTTATGTTTTCTTTAGCTCAAGTGCTGTGGTATGTCTTCGATTCCATGATATAGTGGTATCATGAACTTAATTCTTTACACAATTCTGGTTGATTGGATGAGCTCTGATTCAAATTCAATGTTTAGTTTCAATGTTGACTATACAGGGAAATTTGGTTCAGTTTGTGTTCAACTCAGTTTGTGACCAGAATTGTGGAATTTAGTTTGTGAACTGGGACACTACTGTATATTCCTGACACCAATGTTTGCTTTTCCCTTTTACTCATATTTAAACAACAGTATGTTTATGTTACTGGAAATGCTTAGCATAACTTGGATTCATGGCTTCTCTCTGGTTCTCCTCTTAGAAGAATGAAAAGATCTGATATTTGGCCTCATAGCATATTTCTGAAAGTGTTTTCTGAAGTGGATCTAATAGTGTTAAGTTGGAGGGTATCTGTTGATTTTGTAGCTTGGTTATGTTATTCTTAGATAATCTAGCATAAGGAACCACCCACCCCTTACCCTACTACGAAAATTAGCACTTACGTGCTGATTTTACATCTCCAGATGTAGACTCTAGTCCTTACGTTTCCCACTATGTTCACACTAGGTTGAAAAGAATTTTAGGCCAAAATTTCAGATAGAGAAGTATGGGCTGTAGATCTAATGCCCTGATGAGTGGAATGATTGAGCTCTTGTGCAGCAGGGAAAGCCGTTCTTCCAAGTCTGGTCCTTGAAAACTCTGAGGGAGTTTAAATCTTGCAAAAGTGTCCTAGATGGCTTAGGTATTTTGCCTGGGATTACTTCCAGTTTTTGTAGCATGAATTAAATTCCTTTTTCAGTCTAATAGACCATTGATTAGTTTGTGTGGCATACTTGAAGTTGTATAGTTGGCATGTGTATATGTGTGTGTTAATTTCAGTTGGAAGGTGGGCACAGTCTTGTAAAAGTGGTATTAGGTTTTGTCTCAGCATACTTATAGTGCTACCTGGATTGTTTAAAGTGCTCAGTTAAAAACTGGTCAAATGCATGAAAAAAATCTTTTAATGTTTGAGAATTTTTGAAGAACTAACTATATATAACTGTTTATTATTTTACTACTTTTCTCCAATATTCTTCTAGTTGCATATTTTGTAAAATATATTCTAGGAATATCAGATTCATTACATAATCTGTGGAAAAGGGCTGTATGCACAAGTAATTTTTGGAAATGCTGCATACTAAATCTTTCTCTTGAAAATCCATTCATTATGTAAATATACTAAAGCCCTTTAAAAAAGACATGCCTATATAATCTGGGCTCATGCAACTATTTAAAACAAAAACTTAATTTTAATTCAGCAATATTATAGTTTCTCTCTAGATGTTAACCAACGCCTCATGCAGTCATGAGAGGTGGGCCTTCTAGGGTGGCTGAGTCTAGCACTTGTGATTGGTTCATTGTCAAGTGCTGAGACTGGCAATGTGAGTGCTGGACCCACCCAGGAGTGGGTAGCTGGCATACAATATAATGAAGGGAAGGAGGCATGCTTTTCCTTGTTTAGCCTGTTCACTCTTGGTCACTTGCAGCTTCCATGAATGATTGTCCCTTAGCTATGCCTTAGAACCAGCTGAGTAGGGACTGAAACCTCCAACAACTGTAAGCTAAATAAACCTTTCTTTCCTTAATTTTGGACATCAGGTATTTTGTCTCAGTAATGAGAGAAAAGTGACCAACACAAGCAATAAGCTTCCCAAATATATTTGATCACAAAAAATCTGTTGTGTTGCTTTCTATTACTGAGAATAATGACTTAAAGGAGGAAAGGTTTATTTTGGCTTACAGTTTCACAGGTTCCAGTTTATGGTCAGCTGGATTCATTGTGATGGGCCTGTAGTGAGCAGATGATCATGGTGGAGAAGCGTGGTGGAACAGTGCTGCTGGTCTCCTGGCAGCCAGGTAGTAGGAAGTGAGAGATCCAGAGAGGAAGGAGCCAGGAAATGTACAGTCCCCGAGGTCATTCCTCTGTGCTCCATTACCTTCAATTCGACCCTGCTTCTAAGTTTCCATCAGCTCCCAATAATACCTTCAAGAAATGAATCCATCAATAGATGGATCCACTGATGAAGTTATAGCCCTTATGATCCAGTCACCTTCAAGAAGCCTCACCTCCAAACGTATGAGTCTTTTAGGGGACATTTTATATTCAGCTGTAACACTTTTTAATAACTCTTAGAAAACACTTTGGGAAGTGCTATAATTTTTAAGCTATAGTTTTTAAAAACCTCACAGAGTTTATTTTAGACTTTTTAATCAAATAAACTTCAAATTTTTGAAGTTGAATTTTTTTCAGCCATCAGATATATAAATTATGACTAAATATAATTAGATTGCCCAGGTTTAAGACAATAATTTCTATTTTTTTTATTTGGCCTTTGGAAAAAGATTATCTTCATGATATTTCAAAGATGTATATTACTTTGGGTAGTAAATTAGCTTATTTAAGAAAAGGAAATACAGATTTTAATTGGTGCCCTAAGCTGAGAGAACCCTTGTCTTTTCTGTATACCCAAAATACCCAATGCCCAAAGTCAGGAAGGAAAGGTTTATTTACTTCACAGTTTTTAGAGATTTTAATTCACAGCTGGCTGACTTTAAGACAGGGTGGCACAAGGTAGATGGACACTGTTCATGGTGATGGAAAACAGCAGAAGCAGCAAGAGAGAAGAGTGAGACAAGCCTCTTTCTATTTCTGATATCGTATTGGTCTACCAGGATTAGGGTGGTGCCAATCCAATCAGTGGACTGATCCAGCAGTCACCCACCCTTCATATCAACACACTTAATCCCAGCATTGCACTACAAATCAGCTATATACTCTAGATCCAACCACCTCTGAACAAAACCCACCCCCAGTGAGGGAGGCTTGGAGGACATCTAGGCACAAGCCATAACTACCCTCTACCCTCTGTTGTAGAAGCATTTCCATATTTCCCCTGGGCTCAATAGGAGAGACAGTTTGACAGTCTTTACTCATGGTTTTGCATGTTATCTTGGGGAGTAAACCTATTGTTATGCAGAGTTTTTACCAAAATGATAGGGCTGGCCAGGCATGATGGCTAGCAGGAAGTTGAGACAGGAGAATTGCTAGTTTGAACTCATCCTGGTAAATTTAGCAAAGCATTCCTCAAAATAATAGTATTTTAAAAACTAAAAAAAGTTGGGGATGTAAATCAACATTCCCTAAATTTCATCCCCAGTACTGGGGGTGGGGACAGAGATAGTTACAACTGAGTGAAGTAGGAAAGTTGATTAATTTTATTTTGATTCAAAGTATTACATTCTTTGTTGCATTTCTACTTTGTCTTTAAGATAATATGTGATCAATAAGCAAGTCATTTTGCTGTCCGGGCTACCCCATAAGATGGGCTACCCCCCATCTTCTCATTTTAATTTTGAAACAGAGTGTCACTGAGAGAAAGGTCTCTGACCTGCAGTCCTCCTGTCTCAGCCTCCAGTGACTGCATTACGGTCAGATCATCGTGCGACTCTTCATCCTGTGTGTTTCAGTGTCTTTACACTAGTTCTGGCTGTTGCACAACAGTTTAAGAAACCTCTTTCTATTCATTTTTTTGAAACCAATGTTTCTGTACTTGCTTTTCTACTCTTTTCTGAGTACTTTGTTTTGCTTCATATCTGTTTTATAAATAGTAGCTTTTGTTGTTGTTTTGCTTTGACATTTACAGTTTGTACCTAGTTAGGAGATTTTTTTTTTAAGAAAAGTTTTGTTTTAGAGCCTCTTTTTTGATAGTGTTGATAATGTGGAGGGGTTGGTAAAAGGAGATATTGGTAAGTAAAGCCCAACAAGTTTCAACTAAACAAGTTTTCTGACTAGCTCCCTAGATCTGATTTGTAGTAAATTTGTAGCAGATTGCCTAGTTCAAATTCTTAGATTTTTTTCCTTACATTCAAAGTCTTACTTTTAGACTTTTTTCAACAGCCATTATCCTATGGACTTTTCCCACCAATTCTCTAAAATACCATTTTTTGATGCAATTTTCCCAAATACTGACATATTTTACAATTATAAATTGTATTAAGTATTGTATAAAGTATTATATATTGTATAAAGTATTATAAATACTTAAACATGGTAAGTATTTTATTACTGAAGCAGTATGAGCATACAATAGTCTAAGAGTTCACAAAAATCTAAATAAAAGATAATTAGGCATTTGCATTCAGTGCAATAGATAAAATTCTGTTTTATCTTCAACAGACAAACAGCAGAAAGGTGGATTTGCAATAGATGGCTATGATGTCAGGATGAATAACACCCTTAGGAAGGATGGGAAGAAAGATTGCTGTTTTGAAATCTGCGCTCCTGATAAACGTGTCTATCAGGTTGGAGTTTTTATGTTGCCTTGAAATTAGGTTGATAAGATGTTCTGATTTCATTTATAGAGACATTAACATTTCGTTAAAACAGCTCTCCCTGACATGTTAATAATAATAATAATAAAAAATACTGGGTTTTATATATTGAAAATTCATATAAGTGGAAATATACTTTTAAAAATTCAGATTAGTTCAAGTGATATCTTCTTGGAAAAGATCAAGTGAATATATGATTTATCAATTACTCCACATGTAGCATTTCATCTATCTTAAAAGAATTATGTGATTTCCTAGAAGAATTACATACCAGAAAGAGTAAAATTATCAAAGAAAAAATATTAAAGTGTTAATGCATATTGTATTGCTTAAGGGTGCGGGAGAAAATGAAGATAAAGACATGGATCAGCTTTGCAATTCAAGAGCTATCAGCTAGGCATCAATATGGAATGTATGTTTAATAAGTTTTAAATATCTGAGATTGCAGTTGAAAGCTAGTTAATTAAGTTGTCAGGTAGTGTGTTGGAATCTGACAAGAACATTTTTAAGAAAACTGTACCCAGCAGTCTAAAGAAATTCATGGGTGTCTTCTAATTGTCAAGGGCAAATTTTGTTCATCAGTTCTGTCTTTGACATTGATGAAGAGAAGCAGCTTTTTTTCCTGCACAGCTGCCAGCTGCTGATCAGAGTTTCAAATCCATCATCCTCTGCTTCAATTACATAAATTTGTCAAAATTAACTGTACATTATAAGAAGCATCCTTGCAAGGAAAGTACCACTAGACATGAAAAGAATTACTAATCGTCTCAAAGAAATGATAAGAATGCAACATTCCTTTATTTCTACGGTGGTGATTTTTATTCTTATTGTTTGTTGTTTTTTTAATTTTATTAGTTTACAGCCACTTCTCCTAAAGATGCAGAAGAATGGGTGCAGCAGCTGAAATTCGTATTGCAAGGTAAGAGCATTGGTTGTATATGTAATCACAGTTGTTCAGCACTAAATAACTGAGTAATTTTGGTTTTTATATAGAAGGACTTAATGACTTCTATGAAAATATCCACAGAACATGATTGGTATTAATGGAGACCATTCAGTTCTAATTTATAAAAGTATTTTTACCATAAATCATCATTTACTGACCTTTCCCATTGGTTCACAAATTGATTTTAAAGTGTCTTGAATAAAAGATGTAGCACATAACAGTATTATGGTTACTTTGTTTATTTAGGAAATACAATTTTTAAAGTCTTTGGCAAATTAATTTTTAAAATATTTTAAAGAATACAGCACAGAACAGTACTGTTACTTTGTTTATTTAGAAAATACAATTTTTAAAGTCTTTTCCAATGTTTTAAAATTTGCTTTGTGAATTGCATTTTGTAGATATGGAATCTGATACTATTCCTGAGGATTATGATGAAAGAGGAGAGGTGTATGATGACGTTGATCATCCTCTACCAATCAGCAGCCCACCAATAAGTACTCATCCAATAGAAGAGGAAATATATGAGGAACTTCCAGGTATTTATTTTCTGGTGATTCATATAAAGGAAATAGGTTCTTTTATGTGTGTGCACTCATGTGCACGCCTCTGTATGTATGTGTATAATTTGTCATCATGTTGACAACTTGAGTAGAAAATAGTGAGCTAGTAAGAGCAAGGACAAAGAGAACCTTCAAAACTATTTTGCAGAAAGAGTTCTGCTTGAAATATTTCAAGTGAGTGGACTTAGACTTATGAAAAGTGAACAGAATGTTAAAATGAAGCAGATACAATCTTAATCTCTTGGGACGTTTGGCTCATTAGCATTGTTTATGCTACATAATTTTTTAATTAAAAAATTGACTTGCCTTACAGTTTTCTCCACCAACTCACACATCATTTTTTATTTATACATCTTGGAACTTCCATTAACCAGAAGTTCCATGCACACCCCATATGTCAACTTCTGCCTATCTATTCCTCCTTACTGTGCATTGTCTTAAGGAAATGTTGTTGGACTAACAACAAAGGTCTTTTGAGGCTTAAGGTCATCTTACTGATATTTTAGCCTGAAATCAAAACATTTTCTTACTGTAAATATTTGGACTTGGTTTAGAGCTTACATGCTTCAGTGCTGTTGATTACTTATGGCTACCATTGAGTTTTGAGAATCAACCTAAAGCAGAAAGATAGGCATCTAAAATTCAGGATTCTTAGGCTATAACAACATTCAGGGAACTGCATTGCTAATACTCCAGGTTGCAATAAGCCTTTTTCTATTAGAAAATTTAAAGTTAGAGAGGAAAAATAGTGAATACACAATGTAAGTGAGATTTAACTAACATGTAGAGAGGCTAGTTTTCTCCTACTAGAACAATTTAATGACAATATAAACTTTTAAAATTATTTCAGAAATACTTATGATGTTCCAAATTAATGTACAAATGGCACTTTCAGCATAGTCAGGAAAGCTTAATAATTAAAACATGGTCTTTAGAGTAAAATTTTAAAATTCTAAACAGTATCATTTATTAGTTCAATGCCCTTATAAGATAATTTCTTCATCTATAAAATAGGGGAAATGAGAGATAATTCAACACAGTGCTTGGCTTATATAAACTCACAATAAATAGTAATATCATTTTTATTTTTATTATTATCATATGTGGCAAACTCTTCAGATGCTTATATAATGGTATGGTAATGGTTTCTGGCCAAGTAATATTAATTGCAACTATTATAAATTCAAGATATGAAAACTGTGCATGGAGTCTGTGAGTTGTCTTTTGCTACCCCACAGGAAGATGATTAGTACAAAGTATATTTCTATTGCGTACAAAGTATATTTCTATTGTGTATTTATAGCCCTTTCCTTTATGGTTTATGATAAGCATATGGCATCTGCTATAGCACAGTAACTCTCAGGTAGGAAAAAATAGTCTTTGGCTACTTATTTTTAGTCACACCATATGATTAATTCAGTTCATTGCAATGTTTAAAATACTTGAAACAACTCACAAGAATATAGGCTGATGAAAAAAGAAGCATGTACTACCTTTAAACATATTATTGCCAGTTTTTGTGTTGCATTACAATTGTGGAATTAACTATTAAGTTCTGTTTCTTTAACTTTACTGTTGTGTCCTATCACCCAAGGAATGAAATGAGAATAAACATAAAATATTCATAGTTATCTCCCGAACAAAGACCAAGAAAGATCTGTAAGTAGCTTGACATTTTAAAAATATGAAACATCTTTCATTATCTTTCACTACAGATCTTCTTTTTTTTTTGTTTTGTTCTTTGGCCTGAGGCCACATAATTGCTGGAAATACTGGTTACTCTTTAAGCAGTGTTACCTCTTACTGTGGTACTAGGAGAAATTTAAGCTGCTCAGGGATTTCTTTGTCACTGCCTGAGATCCCCAGTTGCTGTACAGTGATTGAGCTTGATAGAGCCTGCAACTGTGCCCCTGGGAAGGGAGCTGAAGGCAGCTGTGGAATGTCTGGTGCTTCTTTCTTCCCCAGTGTAACTGAGAGCTGCTTCAACATCTGCACAGTTGAGCAAGTTTGGAGAGTTTCAGCCAGCAGCTACAGAGGGAATTTTTCTAGTGAGGCCCCAAAGTTATCTCAGAGTTAACAGGTTTTGCTTACTTAAATATCAGAAATAGAAAAGTAACTTTTAAAATTTAAAAATAGTCTTTCAGGCTAAGAATTAAGCTCATTGCTCTTATTTCTGTGAAACTTGGCTCTACTTTTGAGATGAGGGTGAGTGCTGAGAACAGTAGAAAGGAGCACACTGACAAACTGTTGATATTTAGTTCTCTACAAAGAACTATGTGTCTCTGAAATCTGACCGGTTAACTTCTCAGAACTGAACCATTTCAACATAATTTTCTTCCAAATTACATATTATTGAAAAATAATCCTCTTAAGTTGAGAGATGAGGTATACAGATGTATTTGAAGGAAAATCTAAACACTGAACATGCTGCTTTAAATCACTAAACTGAGAAAGTTCAGTGTTTTAAGTCTCAAGAGTAAGAAGAAAACATTATTTAAAAATTATATTGCAAAATATTCCTTGAAAAAATGTTTATAATTCTATGGGAGTATGAATAGTTTCATTGTAATTGTTTTTTAGTTAGAATATTCTAATGTTATTATAGTACCTTCCCTTAATTTCTTGTTTATTAATTTTTAACTAACTTCATAAAAGAATAACAATACATTTCTAGATTTCTTTGTGTTTAGAGTACATAAAAATATGTGCAGATGAGTTGAAGGAGTGATATTTCTGGGAAGTATTAAAGTACTTGGATTTTCTTCAAATACCTTAATGCTTTAACATCTTTTATGTTTTTTTACTTAATAGCATAGGCCAGTCAAGTTTGCATACATTGTGCTAATACTACAGCATATTTTTGTTTGCCATCTAACATATTAGTCAAAGTATATTAAACTGTTTTATAATATAGTAATGAGTTCATATAGCTTAGCACAAATTCAAGAATTTATTGGTTATTTTTTCATTAAATCTACAGAGGAACATTTTTGTCTGATTTTGACTCCTGAAGGCAAGAAACTATACTTGGAATACTGCTACAGAAATCAGCATAACTTACTCTTTCCTTCTAGTTACTGTGTCATTTGATTTTTTTTTTCCTTTAATGGTATAAACAGCAATAGCAAAAACATTTCTTTGGATGTAGAACAAAATTACCCTGAAAACAAGAATGGTAACTGCTCATCAGCCTACTCACTCTACAGCTTTCAGGGGAATTCCACTTGAGATGAACTGGTGAGTGGACTGGAGGAGAGAACGCATATTAAGCAGGAAGATGAATTTCTGTTCCATTGACCTATTTTTTTTTAAAGAGTGAATTCAGTTTTTAAAAAATCGCAATGGCAGATTGAACTATTTTGAGCCAGAAAAGGATATTTTTTCTTTCTTTCTTTATTTTTTTGGTCATTCAATTACACTTAAATTTATTCAGTCCAACTATCTACATTTATAATGAAATGTAAAGTAAAATGAAGCTGTAAATGTTTCAATGAAACTATCATGTACATATAAAAAAGGACTATTTGAGTGCTTAAATTTGAAACAATTTCCAGCAAATAGGCAAAAATGCAAATTTAATCAATAAGTAGTTACAAACCCTCCAATATATTTTAGCCTTATTTTCTTCCTGAATAATTCTCACTCATATATGAAGTTTTTATTAACAGAGATCCTACAACCTTTGGATACTAGTATTGCTCTAACGATGGTAGGTCTTGACTTCAAACAATTTTTCTCATTTGTTTTTTGGAATGCGATGGAAAGACATCAATTAGTTTTCATTGAGCTACTTTATTCAACATCTCAAGATTATTAGTCTAGGTAGCATTTTTTCTTAAACTGTGATATTTAATTACACAGTTATTAAGTATGGTGTGGGGTTTTTGTTTGTTTATTTTTTGTACTGAGAATAGAACTCAGGACTTTGTGCTTGCCAGGCAGAAGCTGGGTGACAGCTATATGCCTGGCCCCAATATGCTGATATTGTACCCTAACATACAGTATTATAAATACTTTCCCCAGGTAGGTATCTAGATTAGAATCACGTATTTGGATTATTTCAGCTCCAAACTCTGCAGAGAAGATTATCTAAAGTTATGAAAAAATAAAACATCCATACCTTAGGGTTACTGCTGTTTGTTTATATTTTTATCTTTACTGAGCATAGATATGTCTTTCACAGTTCTTTATGTTGTCTGTTTCAGAATATTATTCTGCTTATCATGTAGCTTTTCTGTACTTTGCCATTGGCATTCCAAACAACTTCATTAAGAGATGACTTATTAAGACCTATTAAGACATATTAGGACCTGAAATATCTATGTACATTTGAAGTATGTGGTTTCAGGTAGAAATATAAAATGACCCATTTTTGCAATTGGATCTATATCAGAAAGAGAACAGAAAAGAAAAGTAGACAATATAAGAACTGGTAAACATAAAAATAGATAAAATGTGTGCAAGCAACTTATGTTAAAATAAACCTTATTTTTTAATTTAAAGAGGTGAGACTAAATTTTAATTACTAATTAAAGTTAGCTGGGGCAAGGTGGAGACATGGGATAGTGAAGCACACTAAGTGCTGTCCTGCTGAGGAAGGAGAAGAGCAGTAGTGAGTAACTTTAGCCTTTTAAGGAAATACATGTTGAAATTTCAAAATAGGTTTTAAAAAAAAGTAAAAATGTAGTCCTAAGTTTCCTAAATCATAGAATGAAGTAAAAAGTGACCACATAAGAATTTGTACACCCTAAAGAAGGCAGGAAATAAGAAAATGGAGTGAGGAGAAAATATGACAAAGTAAAATGTACTATAAGAGTAATTATAGTAAATGTAACTTTATTATCTATTAAAAGAGATGATCACATTCAATGCCTTTAAAAATTCTAGTGGTGTTCACCTTAGAGGAGATATTCCTGAAATAAATCACATAAATAGTTCATTCACAACAGAATAATCAGAGAAACTGAACATATAAA